CCAATTATGCTGAAATGATAAACTGTGAAATAATGCATTGGTAGATGTATTTTTAAAATAACTTGCTTTCAATTTGATATGTTTATAAATGTGTTGTGATTTATACTTTACATATATTTAATCTTTGTGATATATATTCTTTTTAGGCACCTTGCAACTGGAAACAGCTACAGTTCTTTGGCATATAGTTTTCGTGTTGGGAAATCTACTGTAGGAGTTGTGGTGCCTGAGACATGCAATGCTATATGGACAGCTCTTCAGCCGGTATATCTAAAAGAGCCAGAGAAAAGTGATTATGAGAGAATAGCTGTAGAATATGGCACAGTGTGGGACTTCCCAAATTGTGTTGGAGCTGTCGATGGCAAACATGTTGTCATTCAGGCTCCAGCACATGCTGGCTCTACCTATTTCAATTACAAAGGGTCACACAGCATCGTTTTGATGGCTGCATGTGATGCTTCATATTTATTTACAATGGTGGACATTGGAAATTTTGGCAGAATCAGTGATGGAGGCATTTTCTCAGCTTCAAACCTTGGGAAAAAGCTTTCTCGTGATAAAGAATTTCTGCCTGGGTACAAAAAGTTACCAAAAAGCTCCAAATGTCTGCCACATGTCTTCGTTGGAGATGAAGCATTTGGACTGAAAGAAAATTTCATGCGTCCATATTCAGGCAGAAACTTAAGTAATTCAAAAAGAATTGTTCAATTATAGATTCCCTAGGGCAAGAAGATGTATAGAAAACACCATTGGTATTTTGATTGCTCGCTGGAGGATTTTACGGAATCCAATTATTGCACAGCCTCAGACAGCAACATTATTTGTGCAGGCATGTTGCTGCCTGCACAATTTCTTGACGAAATAAAAGTCTATATCTAATAATTATGAATACTACCCCACCTAATTTTGCCGACAGACCCATGCTTGAGATAGCCAATAAACTCTGGCGAGATGATACATCTTCAAATAATGGTCTACTGAAAGTTCTTAGATTAGGGAACAATAACTATTCATTTTCCTCTGGATCAGTTCGTGATTTATTCTGTAGTTATTTTGAAAATGACGGAGCACTCTCTTGGCAAAATAAAAGAATAGGTCTGACAGTGCACCCAAATTAAAGATAAATGTATGTAAATAATATTTTTTTTTATTTCAAAATAAATATACATGTACAATGTGTAAAAAATAAAACAGGTTGGAAAAACATGTAAGCATTGCACAGCTCACTTTGATACTTTTTGTGATTATTATAAATAATTTCAAAGTGTATATTACTTTCACAGTACTTCTATATTATTTATTTCTTTATTATCTGATTTATTTCCTGAAGTATATAAAACTTCTGCATTATGAATATTTTTAAAGACTATATGATGTATATTAACAAAATAAGATTTCTCTCACCAGAAAGCATAAAATTATCAAAAAAATATTAGCTAAGAAATAAATTTGTACCTTACAGTAATGAATTTTCTGTTAGAGATCTGCTACAATACGAAACCTGGCTGTAAATGTTATTCCATAAGTATAACATAGACAAATTAGGCATGAATGTAGATTCATTACAATAGTTAAGATGTGTATCATTATGCTGACATTATTGACATCTATTTTCTGTATACCTTTTTCAGATCATTCAGCTTTTATCATTGCTAAAAATTTAGTTTATACTTATTGCCGAGGCATTTTGTTGTCTTGTTCTGTAATGTACGATGCACTTTTATATTTTCCTGAAATGTCTATGCTGTGTACACGCTTAAAGTAGATTTTTTGTTTCCATTACTTAATTTAATAGGATGTAAAATTAGTTTTTATTTAAAGAAAATATGCATAACACTTAAATAATAATTTTAAAGTCATGTTAAGTATGATGCTCATAGTACATAGTCTTAAATAATAAAACAGAAATTAAAAACATAATTTTTTATTTTACATATTCTGCAATTAATTCCAACATTCTTCTTTTTAATTCATTTTTTTTTTTTTTCCCGTGGTACAGCACCAAAGTCATCACGGAGACTTAGTAGAAAGTGTTCATCATCTGATGTTTGGCTCCGTGATTTTAATCGTGCTGCTGCCAAATCTAAATAAGTCGACAATTTTGAATCGATGTCTTTTTTCTTTTGCTTTTTAAGTGGAGGTTCTAAAATCTCTCCACCATCTACAAGTTGGCTGCTGCATGCAGCTTCTTCATTTAATGATTCATCAAAATTTATGGAGTCATTAAATGACTCCATTGTGTCTTCGATAGGGAGTGAAGGCTCATCAATTATATTGCTCGTGGTCCTGTAAATAGAGGAAACATTAAGAGAAAATATAAATAAAATTAATATATATACATAAACATATACATTGTGTGTGTGTAACAATTTAGATTCATTTCATTTCAATTTTCATGTAAAGTAGCCAAACTTTGTTGGAAGAAGCTACATATTAAAATTAAGAATCATTTAATAGCCATAACTAGATATTTATAGTTTTTAAGAAGGTTGATATTGAACCCACAGAGGTCAATGAGGATCAAAAGGGTCGATTGCAAATATGCACCAACAATTTATAGGAATAATCAAGCCCCCATTGAATAAAAAATGTATAATTAATTGTTTATTGATATAAAACTACACATGTGGTAAAGAAGAACACCATACAAAATAAATATAAGGGAAAAAATACATAAAAATTACTTAATAGAAGTTTAAAATCCCATTTTCAAAATGTATAAATTATTTATGCAAAAGTACAGTATAAAAGAATAAATGCAGGAACAAAGAAAACACAACCAAAAATATAAAAATGCAAACTTTCTCAGAAAACGTATTGTTATATACAAGATGCTTGCAAAATTGGAAATTTAAATTTGTCAGTGGCTCATGGAACCTCTGAATTGCAATTTCAGATCAATATTTGATCTAGATTTTATGATGTAAGAAGAGTTGATTATATTGAAGGAGGATGTTCAAGCAGAAGTCTTATTCAAAATGGAAGTTTAGAAATTAAATATTATTAAAGAGAAATATTCCAAAATATCTTCTGGAAATCTTGTCGTGTGTTCTTATACCTCACTGCATATTACATCTCAGTATGGTTGTTTACCAAAATTAAATTTAGGGGTACTATAAGCCAACACAGATATATCAGTGCATTGATTACCAATTAAATTTAGGAAAATGCTATAATAAAGATGTATCAATTTTTCTTGAAACTTTTGTTTATATTTCAATATGTTATCGTTAAGTTATACGGTTTAATCCTAGTATCCTGTTCACACGGGATTTGGCGACTTTATGATGAGCAGTAAAAACGGGGCATATACGATGAAGTATTAACGGGTCATTTAAAGAATATATATAGTTATACATAGAACGTTGTTTGGGTCATTTTTGGTGTTGGCGATAATTTTCAAAATCGCGTCAAGGCTGTAGCGTATACTAGGATTTTACCAGTTATGCTTGTGCAGTTATTTGTATTATGATTATGTTTCATGCCACATATAATAGAGAAAGCATTGAAGAAAAAAACCATCCTTTTAAAGGAAGTCAAAGCAAAAAAAAAAAAAAAAAGTTTGGAATCCCTGCACAAGAGCTTTTGCATAAAAAAAGTAGTTTAGTTTTCTGAAACAATTAACTTAAGCTTTAAATTATTTTACAAACTGGAGCAGAAGATATCCCCTCCCTCTCCTCCAGTATACGTTACATATATTCATAGTGCTGTTAAGAATATGAATGCAACATCTGTTAATACATGTCATTTCTGCTGTCATACAATGTCTATATGAAATGTAGCATATGCACAGTAGTAAATTCCATAAATGGAACTTTTGTTTCTTAATTTGATGCTAAGTGTACATCAAGCAGTTTCAAATTGCTTAATGCTATTAAACACAATGTAATTTAAAATTAATTTGATGATTGATAACAAGGCATGTCATAAAAAAATTTCTGTTTCAAATTGTACTTAAAAAATGAAATCGTTTCTTGTTATAGCATGAGCCACATTTAAGGACCTTCCAAAATAGTTTTCATGGCTTCTTCCACATGTGTCTTTCTCTTATTCAAAACTGCACTTCCAAGGTGTTTCTCTTTTACATATATAGCTTAGTTAAAATAATCTGTAAGCAACCTATTAAATTTTATATAAATTTCCTTAAATAAATACCATTTTGAAAAGCAGTTATAAAATTCTTAACAACTTCAGGAATATTTTGAGCCTTACAAAAAGTATTCTCACTTGTTAATGTAGTTACAAAATTCCCTTAGCAAATTTATATAATAAACAATATCAGAACTATACATTTAAAGATGTAATTCAATTTTATTATTTCAACTACAAAGTAGTAGAGAATATATATCGTATAGCTGTGATATTTTTAAATATACAGAATATAGTAATCGTTTTAAAATATTAAAAGTTGTTAGAAATACTTACGGTCGATGACTAACTGTATCTCTTAAAAAAGATAATTCCTCATACAATCCAAATTTTGGAGTTGTAGCTTCAGAGCCACTCCTATTTTTTGATTTTAGAGCCTTGCACTCCCTAACATATCTATCACGCAGACATTTCCATCGATGTCTGATAGTATTAACTGAAAATAAGCATATTATAATCATTAGTAAGCATACGTTTCATATCACAAAAAAATATAATATAAGCAAAAATGTTCCTTGAAATATATGAAACAGACTTACCGTCGTATCCTATACTATTCGATATTTTTATCCAGATTAGTTCTTTCTTTCTTTATTGCGATAATCTTTCAGTTTGTGATCCCATAACAGTGGGTATGTGTCGAATCTCGTTGATAAGTATTTCGTCGTTAAACGCAGCCGCCATGTTGAAAGCTGTAAACAAAACTTTGGAGCAGATCATGACACGTGATCCGAATTCAGTCAGCTATTGGCTAAACGCGCGCGTCGCGGGCGAAAAAGCTGAACAGGAGCGTCCTCAGTTTTACGTCTTCTGCGTCATGCGAATTTACGCCGGCGTCAAAAAAGTTACGTCAACTACGTCGGGAGCGTCCTCGTGTGGACGGGCCTTCAGATTTCAGATGAGTTGCATGCCTGCTTTTCTTGTAGGGGTACAAAGAAAGGGAAATCTGCTGCATAAATGAATGGACGTTAACAAAAGACAAATCTTCTTGGGGCATCGACTACAGAAAAAGTGCTTAGAGGTGATACAATCTGAGCAGAGCTCAGTTCCTCAAAAGGGGTGTTAAGAAGATTGATAATAATGGAAACAAAGACTTAAGATTTTCAACTTCATTTGTTATTCACAGCATAAAATAAAGTAATAAAATTGCTGAATTTAAAGAATGCGTTTAATTAATTTTTTTTTTTTTTTTTTTTTTTTTAATTTGAAGTTTGAACACCTATTTAATCCGAAATATAATTTTGAGTTTTTATAATAAGATTTAACTTTGTGTCTTTTATCTTGAAGAAAAGTGTTTACTGCATTTTCCGGATGTTACAAATAAATTAATAAAGCAGAGCAATTATTGTTAAATTATGAGAAATCATGTAGCGTTGTCGGCATAACGTACAAGATTGGAGAGTATTGGATATAATTTTTCGCCCTTTGTTTACCAAAGACCGGATATTTGTACGACTAAAGAGTTCCCTGAGAAAGCAAAGTGAGGTTTCAAGACAGTAAGAACTTAATGTTACTTCTTTCTTTTCTTAAACTTCATTTTCCTATTACAAAAAGGTAAAAAGTAA